TTGGTTCTAGCCATGCGAGCCTGGAAAAATAATCAAAGAAAGAATTTTTCTTCTGGTCCTCTGGTAGTCACATTCTCTAGTCCACACTGCCTCTTTTGAATAATAAATGTGCCTCCTGGGCATCGACCTTCCTCATCCCCAGAGCATAGAGCCAAAAGTGCTAACTCCATGTTACCGAGGAAGCCAACGCTTGATGCTGCTATAGGTGTTTGTACTCACTGTCTCTTCTACTCCTTGCCTTCAAAAAGCTCGCTTGCCCTGCCCCTCTGCTATAGCCCAGGGAGTCTGCAACCATGCCTGTGTTTTGGGGATGCCTCTATTTTCAGAGACAAGTTATCCTAGTTCTGTTTCTTCCATGAGAAGAAAGCAAAAAAATAATGGGCCAGGGCTGCAGCCGGGTGAATGGAAGGTAGACTGAAGGCCTGAATTATCTAGGGCATTTTACGTGGTTGACATAGGGACTGGGGAAAGAAGAACAGAAATTGCAGCTATCTGTGTGTCCCAATTGTCTGACTCAGAACGACCATAGGCCCTGCTTGAAAGCGCCAGTGGCTGAAGGATCAATAACCCACTGCTTATACCCATTTTTGGCATATCAATTGGGTAATGTTGATAAGGGGTCAAGTAAAAAACAGGGACTATGCGGCTTGGAAACCAAAGAATGCCTAGGAACTGTATTCAGGGTGAAGCCCAACTCTGGCCCTGGGGCAGAAACTGCTGTTTATTTGGTCAGAGATGAGCAGAAACCTGTCATGATCTGTGCCCCAATTTGGGGTGATAACAGGCATCCTCGCAGTGCTTTGGTAATACTGTAGTTGATATTCTCTACGTACATTCCTATTTCAAGACTGTGCCAGGAGGTAGGATAAACCAAGTGGGATTGAACATTGAATATGAATTCCAGCATGTAAGGTCTTGTACCAAGTAGTTGATGAGAGCCAAGGATTGAATATTAGGATTGATGGGAAGTGATGTATTCTTTAATTTATTAATTCATTCACTAAATATTTATGGAGCATTTACTTGGGGCCAGGCACTAAGGGAAAGAGATGGAAGACATTATCGGCCTCTAAGCAGATGAGAAAGGCAAACATTTGCATTAGAATATGGCAGGTACCAAGGAGAGGTTTGACACAGATCACTCTGGTAGCTCAGAGGAGCACATCTAAGCCAACCTTGGGTAAGAAGTGGATATGATGGTGGACTTCCTGGAGAAAGTGATGCCTAGGCTGGGTCTTACAGGGTAAGAATTGGTCATGTACAAAAAGTGGAGGAAGGGCATCCCAGGCAGAAAAATAGGGGCAGGATTCAGGGCAATGAGTTTCTGGAAGTATAAGCCGTTTATTTCATAGGCTGTAGGATTTCAATGTGAGTTGAAGCTGTTGAGAAAAAGCAAGTGTCAAATGAAGAAGGGCCTTGCATGCCATGCTAAGATATTTTACCCCAAAGGCAGTGGGAAGCCCCTGAACAGTTTTAAGTAGAAGAGAGGTGTGACTGGATGTGAGTTTTAGAATCTCCTTCTGGGAGTGATAGGTATGAGGGCTGGGCAGCAGGTAAAGCAGGGAGCCCAGCATTTAGCATTGACCCCCTTGCCCTCCTACCTGTCTTTCTTATCCCTCTCTCTCAATAAAATCTATTCTCTAACTCTTTTCTGCCTTATCTAGTATGATTTCCTACCACTGTCTAATTTATTCAGGTTGACTCAACTTATCCAAACATACGCTCATTCCCACCTCTGTGCCTTGTTCATTCAGTAAACATTTAATAAGTGCTTATTATATACCAGCCATGGTTCCTGGCATGAAGAACCAAAGATGAATGAAACATGGAACCTACATTTAAGGAGCTCACAGACCAGTAGGGAGATACCCATGGAAGCACATTGTTCATATAGTATGGGATGATAATGGCCACGGAATGGATAAACATAGAGTACCATGGGCATAAAGAAAAGCGAGTCATGTCAGTGAGAAGCCCTCTTCTTTCTCTGCTAAATCCTGCCCATCCTTAGGCTTCTGCCTTTATTCTGTATAGAGGCAGGGCAATGTCTCTATACACTATACACCCATCACATCTGTCTTCTAGTTAGAACTGTTCAGCTGCTTCCCACTGCATTTGGGGTGAAACACCTCAGCATGGCATGCCAAGGCCCTTCTTTATCTGACAGGATAGTGTAATCATTTGGAGCTTGGCCTCTGAAACCAGAAAAGATTTTAATCCTGGATCTGTCACTTATGAGACATGTGACCTTGGCCAGAAATTATTCACGCCTCAGTTTCTTCATCTGTAAAATGGGGCTGATGGCTGTATCGACTTCATAGGGTTATTTTGAAGATTAAGAAGTTAATATTCATATAATTCTTTAGATTGTCCTTGGCATGTGAAAATTATTCAATAATTATTGACTATTTTTATTCTCAGTTTTTATCCATTTTCTCAGCATTGATATCATGTCAAGAAACTTTAATTATTATTGTGTTACTTGCCCAGCTTTATGTGTTGCCATATAATTTCTTTCAAGAATGATTATACAATAATCTTTGAAGGCAGCATACATTGTATATGTATCTGTACTCCTGAGAGACTCACAACTTTAGGTATGTCTTAGGGTGATCGGCCATCCCAACTTGCTCAGAATGTATGGGACTTCTAGTGTTAAAATCAGGGAAGTCCCAGACAAACTGGGACAAGTTGTCCATTCATATGCAGTGGGTCCTTCGGTTTTGCCTTCAGTTTTGCTTTTTTTTTTTTTTTTTTTTTAATCTCTTATTGGTCCCAAACTTAACTTTCAAATAAGCTTGATTTGGCTTTGCCACAAATATTTATTTATTGTCTAGAAAACATAAGGTCAAAACCTCTGGGTTTCTTTGGGGTTGCCTGAAATTCCCTAGGGTTTAAGGTAGAAAATATGAGGGATTTCTGAAAAAAACTCCCATCTGCTCTGGGTATATTTACTAGAAATTGTGGACAACCCCATAAAAGCCTTCCTCAACCTGGCCCACAGCCAGGAGGTCTTTCCTGCCCATCCTTTCCCATCTCTCTTGTCATTTCCATCACGATTCTGAGTACTTTCTTCATTTGCTTTTCAGAATCAACGTACCCTTGGTTGAGTCAGTGGCAAAGCCTCTTTCCTCACACAAGGATCATGTGTTTCCATGAATGCCCTAAGTGGGGCCAAGGGATTTTTCCTCCTTTTCAAGTCCCACCACCACCCTATTCACCTGCACTGAGACAGCATTTGCCCTAGGCCATTGTTTTTCAGACAGCATCCCTTAAGGACCCACTGGGGCCTCTAAGGATTTCTGAAAACCATGACACGTGTTTACTGAAGGCTTGCCCGTCTTCCTCAGTACAACCGAGAGTCTGTGTCAACAGCCTCTGAAAGTTTCTACCCCAGTGCATTAGTTCCCTGGGGCTGCTGTAACAAAGCAGCACAAATTGGGTAGCTTAAACAACAGAAATTTATTGTCTCTCAGTTCTGGAGGCTAGAAGTCCAAGATCAAAGTGTCAACAGGATTGGTTCTTTCTGAGGGATATGTGGGAGAATCTGTTCCATGCCTCTCTTAACTCTAGTGGTTTGCTGGCAATGTTTATCATTCCTTGGCTGGTAGATACATCCCCTGATCTCTGCTTCATCTTCACATGGCATTCTTTTTGTAAGGACACCAGTCGTGTTAGATTAGGAGCCCACTCTACTCCAGTAGGACTTCATCTGAACTAATTACATCTGCAATGACTTGGTTTCCCAAAAAGGTCACATTCTGAGGTTCTGGGGGTTAGGACTACAACATGGGAGTTTTCAGGGTTGGGGGCAGGGAGTACAATTCAATCTTTAATGCCCAGATCTTCAGGTGAGTCCAAAAAAAAAAAAAAAAAACACCCAGAAAACAAAACAAAACAAAAAATGAAAACTCCATGGACACTAAAGGCCACATCTCCACAGGCAAAGTCATTGCTCATAAATCCATTTCAGTTCTCTCTCACTTTGCATTTGATACTTTCCTGCTGCCAGATTTGCATCCTCACCAGTAACCACTTGTTTACCACTCTATAGGGCATTGTATGACTGTAGGGATATTAAGAAATATGATAGACACTTGAGTCACCAGTTCTAAATCAGGGAATAGCAAATCTTTTTTAGGGGAAGCCTGCTGAGGAAAAGTTGAATCCATGGCATATCTTTTACAAAGGCAGTGACTTCCATCCTGATGAATAATAATTACAAGCTGGTTGCCTTTTTAAATGCTCTAGAGAATACCATGGTGTGTACAGACAGGGATTGGAGGAGTGTGTGTGTGTGCTTGTGTACCAATGTGCGTGTGCAGGCAGGAACAGGATAAAATCACCAGGCTCCTCCCCAGCCTTCCTGCAAACATTAAGCCTTCACTGGGTGCGCAGAGAATAGCCTGCCTCTCCTCTCTCTGGAACTGTGGCTGCTTCCTTCTGTCGGCTCCCTGGACTTGCTGACCCCTTCCCCTGCAAAGAGATAGCTCTGTTCCAAAAGATAACCACCAGTAGTTACAGGGAACTTGGGGCGGGGGGAGTCAAACAAGTCTCCCAGTTATTGTTTCCCGGGTGTTCGCACATAGAAACACAGACGATCTTTGTGGATGAGGTATTTCTGACTCTGGCAGTTACAGCCTGAGATGTGAAGGCAGTGATGGATCATCGCAAGGGTGGGGAGTCTCAGCGCATGGGGACGGGGGTTCTCGCATGCCTCCTCGCTTCTTTCCAGGGACACCCCACCTCTGAGAAATCCCAGGGACGGAGGAGGCACCTAGCTAGTGCCCACTTACGCCAAGCTGCCAGGCAGGCTGCTAGCTTGCTGAGAAGCGGCAGGCGAGCCTGGCACTCAGCTCCTCCGTGCCGGATCAGGGAGCTGTGGGCTCAGCGCCTACGCCCTGCACTCCAGCTCTGGGCAGCCCCGGGTGGGCTGGGGGAAGGCGCGAAGCTCGGTCAGTGCCTGCAAGTTGACTTTCCCTCACTGTTGCTGCTGGCAGAATACCTACACCAATGCGGACAAGCTCCTAGAAGCTGCAGAGCAGCTGGCTCAGACCGGGGAATGTGACCCCGAGGAGATCTACAAGGCAGCACGACACCTGGAGGTACGCATCCAGGACTTTGTGCGCAGGGTGGAACAGCGGAAGCTTCTCCTGGACATGTCTGTCTCCTTCCACACACACACCAAAGAGGTAAGGCAAGCTGTGGGAAGGGAGCATTGGCTGGTATGCACAGAGGCCTGGGTGGTCTTGGGGATACTAGCCTCCTGACAGTGATGATGCTAATGATTTGCTCCTGATGACCTGTAGTTAGGTCTCAACCAGAATGGAACAAACTTTTTCCCTTCTCATCTCTAGTGAGGAGGGGGCCACAGAGTCAGGTCGCTGAGGGAGTCTGCTAGAGCATTCAGTCCGCAGCTGGAGAAATCTGGGGATCCCTGGTGTAGAAATAGTCGTGGCAAGAGGAAATGTAAAATCACAGACTCCCTTCCCATCCTGGACCCACTTTCCCTTGGTTGCTGTTTCCTGGCAGAACTCAGTCCTGCAGAACTTTGATCATCTTCGCTACCAGCAAGAAGCATACAGAGTTTACAAATGTGTTCTGTGTTTTTATCTTTTTAAAAAAACAGAGGATTAAATTCTTCTTAATGGGGTCTGCCAGAGGGTGGTGATGTTAAAGTGAGTTGGTTCTCAACTTGCCTGATGGTGGAGTGGTGGCCAGTGAAGGAAGGGGGACTGAGGTACCCTTCATGCAGGAGGAAGCCAGCTGGGCTTAAATCTGGGCCCGAATCATTCACAGAGTGGAGACGGGAGGATGGATTAGGTTACACTGTTGGCAGGGCAGAGGGGCTCATAGAGAGGAGGAGGGTTGCAAACCTGCAATTGCTTTTCATTTCTGATTAACATGGGGCACTCTGAAATTGAGTAAGTAGCCAGCAAGGAGGCATATTTAGCATCTTCTATAATAACACCCTTGGCAGATGAACTCATTAGGTGTATGCATGCTTGTGTTCCCCCAGGTATTCATTTTAATGGAGTATTAATTAAAGTTTGATTGCTTCTCAGGAAAAAAAAAATTAACCCTACTTAATTAAGTTGATTTTTGATATTCGAATTGCATTAAGAAGCCTGGTTGTTACTACTTCACAGGCTTTTCTGACACTTGGTGGGAATGAATGCAAATCATTGCAGTGCCTATCAGAGAAAAACATGAAAAGATAATGTTTTCTAAACTGAGATTCCCCAGGCAGATGAAGGGCTGGCGAGCTCCCTGAAGATGGCTCTGCTTCCTCTCTGTGGGACCCACAGCCACTCTCTGATGAGTGTCTGTAAAGCAAGGGGATTAGCTTTAATCCAGGTTTTCCTGCCTGGTTGTCTGCTTGCGTGTGGCTCACCCAATTCTTAATAATGGTTTCAGAAACCAAAGGCTTGTGTATTCTCTTTTAATTATGAGCCTGTGGGTGATGGAATGGAGCATGAATGAACAGGAGTCATGTTCCCCGTGAGGGCTGCGGGGGTGCTCGCTGCCCAGGGAGGTGATGGATGAGGTTAGTTTAGCTATATCTCCCACGTACCGTGCATGGAGCCAGAAGGCTGAGATTCTAGTCCAGATTCTGCTGCTATAGAACCATGTCAGCTTGTGCACATCACTGTGTCCCTGGTTCCGGGTTGCCTCATCTATAAAATTGTGCAGGTGGATTCAGTGGCCCTGAGACCCCTTATAGTTCTTATGTTCAAGATTCTTTTTCTTCTTCTCTCTTCTTTATTTGATGGTGATAATAACAATAATAAATAAGAGTAATTAAGTCTGAAGTAATACAGGTGACTTACCTGACCTAAGATGTGGTTCATTGTAAGCACTCAATGTATAGTAGGTAGTATTTTTTTTTTAATTGGGTACCTACTCCTTGCCAGACACATGGAATTGTCATGATAATCTTACGATTAGATTTTCTTAAACATATTTTCAAATGGGGAAGCTCAGGGTCACAAAAGAGACTGTCTACACGTGATGGAGCTTCTCACCCAGCAGAGACTTCACCTGTCTTCCTGAAGACTGCTCGTGCTTGCCTCTGCTGTTCCACACTCTCTCTTCCTATTTTCGTCTGGCATCTCCTCCCCTCCTCTGCTCTTCTTCCTTCTCCTTTCTCTTCTTTTTCCTCTGTACATTTTCAACCCTCAGAGCAGGGCCTTGATGGGGAGGGTAGATCTTAGCTGAGAAATGCAAAGTGTTGCCAGGTTGGGGGTGTGGGCTCAGATGCTGATAAATACTGTCATAGATCCTTCCTGCCTAGTTATAGCTAATTTCTTCCTCCTTCCTTTTTTTTGTTTTAAGTAGGCTCCATGCCAGTGTAGAGCCCGTCGTGGGGCTTGAACTCACAACCCTGAGACCAAGACCTGAGCTGAGATCAAGAGTCACTTAACCGACTGAGCCACACAGGCGCCCCTTCTCCTTCCTTTTCTTTCTTCCTCTCTATCTGCATAGAGTCGTTTGCTGCAGAGTTTTTGCATTAATGCCACTGTGTAATAGAATGTTGTTGTAAGATATAATTTTGAAGGAATTAGATAGAGCCGCCTGTACAGATTTCTGAGCAGGAACTGAACATCCATCTTCATAAATGATTTAACCTAGGCTTCCCGTGACTCCCCAGGCTGAAGTTCATAATTTTACTTTTTCCCACTTCCTACATCAAAAGATTTACTCTAATTAGGATCAGAGAGGAAACAGGAGGAAGATAGGAGAAAGACACCCTCCAGGCCCATTTCATCTACAGGTTGAAGAGTCTGTTTAATCCTTTTGGCCCTGCCTCATGACTTCTTGGTGACCATGGGAGTCTGGAAGGTTAAAACCTTCTAACCATTTTATTGCAGTGTTCTTCATAATTTGAATAATTAGAAACTATCTAAATAGTCCATGTTGAGTGATTCATTAAACTAATCACAGTGCATCTAGCTAGCGAAATATTATACAGTCATAAAAATCACATTGTCAAAGATCATGAATAGCATGAGAAAGGGCTTGTAGTATAATACATAAAACACTGTATATCCAGCATGACCACAATTTTGATACACACATAGAATAAAGACTAGAAAGAAGTATACAAAGAAGTTAAATGTATGGGTGATTTAATTTTCTTTTGCATTCTTTTGTTTTATAATTTTCCTTCAATGATATGTTTGATTGAAAATCCATAACAATCCCAATAATGTTATTTTACAAAAATAAAATTTCTCATCCCAGTTGGAGAGAAGAGCTACACTATAAAGAAAGATGACAAACCTGTGTCGGGACCTGCTTATGTTTGCAGAGCCTCAGCTATTCGTATATATTGTGCTGAACTTTCAAATAGCTTCTTTTTGCCTGGGGACAGGAAGGCAGCTGACATTTTGCTGGTCTTGAGAGCTAGGGAGGATGTAGGGAGAGGGATTTACCCAAGTCCTCATTTTCTTTGTCCAGGGAGAAGGCATTTGTAGCAAGTGTCATCTGCTCCGCAGAGATTGTCCAAACAGAATTCTCTTTCCTTGCTGTGTTTCCATGGAAATGCTGCAATTGCTGGGTTTTCAAAATATCCATTTTTAGATATTTTTGTAGTAATAATATGAGAGTCAAATTAACTAAAGAATGTGGCCAAGATAATCAACCTCAACTCTTTATTACACAGCTTAATTAAATGCGCGTTTCTCTTTGTTTCTGAACTTGTGAAATCATTCTTCCGTGCTATTTGCTGCTCAAACAGGCACACGCGTGTGCGCGCACACACACACACACACGTCCCACAAACACCTCAGACACTCACATGTACACATGTTCCTCTCCCCACCCATGGTAGAACCAAAACTAAGTCAGTCTTCCAAAGGGATGATGCTCTCAAGAAACAAGACTGCTTCAGCCTCTATTTCAATTGCCCAACTGTCACGGTGTTTAAGAAATAAAAGCTGGTAGTCGATGCCAAAGAAAAACTATCTCTTCAAAACGAGGGAAGCGTGGTTCACCCTGTGGAGCTGGACATCTGAGGGTAGTGGATTGTATCAGCACAGTGCTCCACAGCTGTGCAGGTGGAACAGCCAATCAGCAGGGGAGAGCGGTAGACTACCTCTTTCCGTAACCGCTCATCCATAAACCTCGTTAGTTCTACAGACCTCCTAGTGTCTCCCTTCCTTGTCCCTCCCTGCCTGCCTTTTTCCATTACCTCTTTCTCTGCAGGCAAGATGGGCTCCATGGGCTGGCCCCTTCTGAACTCACTGGTTCACTCTTAGGACCAACTTTATGTAGTGCATTCAAAGCCTCCTTCAACTTTACCTCTGCTAAGGTTCTAGAACTTCTCAAATTAGGTCCATTGTTTGGATTCAAGTATTCAGGGCCACAGCCACATGTGTTCTCTGAGAGGAAGAACACATAAAGCCATCTAAGTGTATCCGTCCACATGGACCAAGTAATTATTGCCAACCAAAGAGCAGAGCCCTGAAGGAATGGGTCACGGTACAGGTGTGTTTGACCAAGAAGAGCATCTGGAAATGGCTGAAACATGAGAGTCATTCTGGAAGCAGTGGATTGAAGGGAAAGATGCAATGCTAATGTATTAGACTCTCCATAAGCAGAGGGTAAGAAGGTTTACCCTAGGGGAGAGAAACCAAAATGGAGAACAATAGGAAAAAAAACCCACGTGGTTGCTGCTACCAATTACCTCACACACTCCATGATTTTATCTAGTTTTGGCAGTCATTGCTTGTGGTAGCTTGAAGGGAGAGACCATTCTGACGGGGTCTCACTGGCTGCCTGATAATTCGTAAATTAGTAATCAGAATGGCTCTCCGATGTGGATTCTTTTCAAAGCAATCCAGGCATGCTCTTCAGGGGTCAGTCAGATGGACACATACACAGAAGGAAACCCATAGGACATTCAGATAAGAAAATTGCAGCCTAAGAAATGGAATATTGATCCTTACTCATAGTTTAGGGACACTAATGTTCCTTTCTGTCCACTTTATGTATGCCTCAGAGGTGCTGGTTCAAAAAAGTGCATTATGAGCCCGCAATTTAAATGGGCTGCTCCTCAGAGGTGACTGTGTGCATGTGGCCCCATGGGATTGCAAGTGGCTCACAACTCAAGCTTTCTAAGTTGCAAATAGTGTCTTAACTTGGTGTCACAATTATCCTCAAACTGGTGCTAAAGTTTCTGGGCTTTGGATGTCTCAGTGTCTAAGCTGTGACTGCAGTGTTTCAGTTTAGACAGCCATTTCTTTGCTACCCTCTTCTTGACATCAGCCTTTGAAGAGAAACCATAGCAAGTTAGAGCTGGAAGGGATTTTAGAGACAAGCTGGAGAGCCCACACATACACGTGCATACACACACATACACTCACCAGTTTAATTATGAAGTAGTTGAAGTAAAGTAGTTTTTCCATGCTCAAGGAGTAGCCAGACAGGGGCAGAATCAAGAATTATCATCAGTAAATATCAATTCCATTCAAGAGCTCTTCTCCTTCTGTTTGTTTTGTAACAGAAGGAAAAATAGAGAAAGATGTCACTAACCCTTTGTCTTTGGTGCTGTAGTCCCCTTCCCTATCTCCAAGCCAAATTCTCTTTAATCACTAGCAATTTTATTTGATATTTTATCCTCTTGAAGGTAGACCAGCACTTCCTTTTCTTATCAGCCTGCTAACCACTGGGCTGAGCTGCATTGAGTATTGTCCTTCATCGTTTATCCCTTAGCTGATCTTCCTTAGCAGTAAGTAGGTTTGATTCTGCCTTAGACAAGAGTTTGTTTATAATATAGTAGAATATGTGAACAGAAATGTGAGAGATCAGTTTCAATTCACTAGTCAAAGACCGTTTTGGGGGAGGACACATTTTTCTAAAGATACTGACTTCAGAGGTCAGAGTGTATCCTCAGATATCCCTAGTCTTTCCCTAGTCCCTTTGTTTATAACACTGATAACCTCATTTTTATCTGGTAATTTCTGTGGTCAGTTTCTTTGCCCCTGCTATTTAGCTGCATGACCATCAGGAGGAGGGAGAGCCGTGAGGCACAGTGGATTTCCTCAGAAAAAAAATGATGCTTTCTTCCCTAGACCGACACCAGAGGTGTTCAAGTTTTATTAAGAATAAGGGAATGGCGGGGCGCCTGGGTGGCTCAGTTGGTTAAGCGACTGCCTTCGGCTCAGGTCATGATCCTGGAGTCCCGGGATCGAGTCCCGCATCGGGCTCCCTGCTCGGCAGGGAGTCTGCTTCTCCTCTCCCTCTGACCCTCCTCCCTCTCATGCTCTCTGTCTCTCATTCTCTCTGTCTCAAATAAATAAATAAAATCTTAAAAAAAAAAAAAAAGAATAAGGGAATGGGGTGCCTGGGTGGCTCATTTAGTTAAGTGTCTGACTCTTGATCTCAGCTCAGGTCTTGATCTCAGGGTCATGAGTTCAAGCCCCACACTGGGCTCCATTGGGAGCTGCTGGGTGTGGAGCAAAAAAAAAAAAAAAAAGGACCTCTAAACTATGAAGACATTAAAATAGCTTAAGGATGGTACTGAGAAGAAAATTATCTTAAATCAAATAAAATTCTCAAGATCCCTGTAAGCCTCTTTTCTGTCTCTTATTCCTGTAACAGCAAGTGCCAGCCTTACCCTGATCAGTCTTCCATCTCAATGCCTGTCCTCCCTTAAGACATCAAGTTTCTTTTCTTTCTCTTATATGACTTGCTTGGTGTCCAGTTTTTTTTTGGCTGAGTCATTTTTTTTTTGAATTTTTTATTTTATTATGTTATGTTAATCACCATACATTACATCATTAGTTTTTGATGTAGTGTTCCATGATTCATTGTTTGCGTATA